TTTTAATTTTGTGCCCAAGTAGAGATATAATGGATTGAAACGATGCCCTAGAACATAAATACTCTTCAAAGGAGCAATACTTCAAAAAATAAAAATTGTAAAAATGGTTGAACATACTTACAACACCTCCAGAAATTCAACTTGATACAGTGAGAAAAGAATAATTGAATCAAATCCTCACACAAACAACACGGCCTCTAAGACCCAGAAAAGGCTGCTGGTATGAGTCTTGCCATCCAGAGAGGGGCTCACATTCTAACACCATCACATCCCTCCCTGTGCTTCCCACTTCCCACTTACACTCCCTCTCAACCAAGCCATAACCAGAGTCTTTCTGATATTTTTCTATATTTCAGGCAAGACTTTTCAGCAGAGACACATACATATATACGTGTGCTATGGGCACACACACACACGCACACACACACACATTTATACTACACACACACAAATTCGCATTCAACCCAGATGCACCAAGTGAGCTGAATGATTTTCAGCCAACCACAATGGTGAAAGACAGAAGCACCAAACAGTCTTTTAAAATGGGTCAGTTATTACAATTTGACTTTTTTTATATTCTAATTTTCCTCTTTGTGTTAATTTTTTTTTAAAGCACAAATGAAAAATGAATACTTTCCAGATCAATTTAAGGCTTCCCACCAAATGGAGACAGAAGAGGCCTTACACAATATCACATGTGATAAATGTATACCTTTCACAGCCTTAAAATGACATAGCAAATCATTTTGCCAGTCACTGATTAAGTATTGTGCCTTTAAATTGATGTCATTCTTTTTGCTACTATGCTGAGTTTTATTATTACTGATTCTCTTCGATCACATATATGGACATCTCCTTTAATTTCCTTTAGAATTTCCTGTCTTTATCGAATTATTAGGTGGCATTTTGTTTTGTTCTGTTTTGCTTTTCACCAGGAAACAAATGTGATTCTTACTAGGAAAATGCTAACATGGCACATAGTCAGCCTTCATGTAGTTTCTCCAGCTATTTGACTTTCAAAACAGCTGTTGAGCTCCTAGAAGGCTTTGCTAAGTGGACTAAAGAAGAAAGGAGGAAAACTGAAAAGAGGAGGGATTTCTATGCCTTTACTTTTGGTAAATTTGTTTTCTTCAGTACAAGTAATCAGATAGGAAGAATGATTGCTTTGTGTTTTATTTGTCAGTTGGTTTTTGTTTAGTTTGTAGATTTGTTTCATTTGATTGTTGAATTTTTTTTTTTTGCCCTCTCCTGGTACAAAAATCACCAGAGAGTTTTGCATGAGAAAACATGACAGTACTTAATGAAACTCAGCACCTAAGGGCATAAGGCAGTTGAAGGTTTTTTGTTTGTGTTTGTTTTGTTTTGTTTTGTTTTGTTTTGTTTTATTCTTTCAATCAGCACCAATCCCATAAATGATCTACACTTGGTGTAAGGTATAAAACTTTTTTTTTTTTTTCTTTTGGAGTGGAGACAACTCCTCCTTCTCCACCCTATGAACCATAATGTGGGATTTTTCAATACTGTTTCTTATGTGTAAAAAACAAAAGAAAGGTTTTCTTTTTGTTTTTACTTACAAAACATAGAGAATATCTTTGTATACATACAGCGACTGGAAAGAAAGCTTATCTGAAGGGGTTGTGACTTATTATTATTATTTTGTTTTGTTTTGTTTTGTTTTGTTTTGTTTTGCTGTAGTGGTGGTGATGGTGGTGGTGGTGGTGGGTCTGTGTGTTGGGGGATGGGTGGGTTCAATTTCTTGCAAGCGGTGTTTACCGCAAACCAAACTTAGGGTCCCCTTCTCAACTTGGGTCAAGATGTTTTTAGAGTGAAGACTCATACTGTAGCAACTCATAAAGGAGCGGTCCATCTCGATACCGAATGCCTACTGCGCTGGGGGTAACATACTGCAGAATGTTAATAGTCCTTCTTAGCCTCCTGTCTACAAAATGGGCATCCCAAGCTGGGTATCTCTTTCTTGGCATGTCAATCTTAATGAGGGGCCCTTCTGGGGGGTAAGGACGCCCCGACGGGGTAGAGGGCCCCATGGGTCTCACTTGGAAAACGGGCAAGCAAGTGTCAGCTGCGAGATCCTCCTGTTGTTCCGTTACGGCTCTGGTGGGCGTGCCCTGGGTCCCCCGGTACCCAGGGGTCTGAGGCGCCATGGGCTCAACATCGGGGGGCAAAGGAATGCCCCAGAGCAGCTCGGCACAACAGGAGCTGGCAAAGATCTTAGCTCGTGGCCCCATGGGATGCAGTACACCATAATATAAGAGCATCAGTGCAATCCCAGCCACAAAGCTAATAAAGACACAACACAGTGCTGGCACCGCATAGGAGTCAGTGGTCTCCGGGTTTCTGTAAAAATACCAAAGGAACGTCAAGGCAGCATTCTCAGTCAAGACTATCGTGTAATATGCAAACATTCGATATCGAGTCCGCCCTTCCTTGACGTTAAACCAGCAGAAAATGTACACAATCCCTACCACCATGTTGAAGAGGATCTCCTCCCACTTGGACATGCAGAAGTCTGTTCCGCCATGGATGATCCAGAAGGCCATGGCACACCAGTGGACCACCACAAAGATCCCAAAGTAGAGCTGGAAGATGGAAGCAAAGAGGGCAAAAGAGATAACTCTGGATGAGATGGTGAAGAGGCGCCAGAAGAGGTGGATGAGGGCCCCTCTGTAGCTCATGCTCTTCTTGTCGTCCCTGGAGTCCCGCAGCAGCTTGTGATAGGAGGCTAGCACCCAAGCCAGGGACATCAGGGAGGTCACAGAGGAAACACCTGCCGGAAAGACACAAACCCACACAGTCAAAACCTTGGACATCACCCGCGGGGCACAGCAGGGCTGCCATCTGAGTAGACGCCCACACACACCATGATCTAAAGAAGGAGGGAGAAAGAAACACAAAATCAGGACCAGATTTGAAAAAGGCACAGAGCTGCTCCCTAAGCTGGCAGTTTTGTTGTTGTTTATACCCAGTATTAGTTTTAATGACTCAGTTTGGAATTTCTGGAGATCCTTAGTGCCAGGATTGAACTGAAGCTGTGCAATTTGCCAGGGGGTTGAAAACTGGATTGGTACATTGGCTGTAAGCGGGACTACAGGAGTTCTAACTGTGGGAAACAAGAGCTCAGTCTGAGCCTTGTTGGTGTCCCTCAGCACTGACAACTTATGTTCATAGAGAAGTCCAGAACATGGATGATAAATTATGATGTCCAACAGTTAACTGTCCCAATTTGGCAATGATGCTTCTCATCTGAAAAAGTTCTGTAGACACTCTGCTTTTTTTTTTTTTTTTAAATCAGTTCACCCAGAGCCCTAAGGAGTCCTTTTCTGAACATTCTTTGACTCGTTTTCTCTCTCATTTTCTATCTAAGGTCACCCTTATCAAGATTCTTAAGATATCCCCTTTACCTGGCCATTTTTAAAATTCACTCTGGTCTTGGTTGGCCTCTCCACAATCTTTGTTGTTTTTTTACAACCAACCATTGCTCAAAATTCTCTTAGACTTTGGCTTGTGAGGCACTGTCCTGAGGTTTTCCTCCTATTTTAACAGCAATGTCGCTCATGTTTTAGGAACACCTTTCTCTCTCTCTCTCTTTCTCTTTCATTACTTTGGTAAAGTTTTTCAGACTTATTCTCTTCATTCCCTGTATTTTTTCTTCATGGGCAAGTATTCAGTGAGGGTAAATGCTATCTATCTCAAGTGATACTTAGGTAGCTTTGTTGTTTTTTGTAAGTAGTTAAGTGCAGTTAGGTTGTTCCGACTCATAGTGACCCTGTATAGGGTTTCTGAGGAGTGACTGGTGAGTTTGAATTGCTGACCTGTGGGACGCAGTCCAGTGTTTATCCTACAAGACCATACCAGGATTTCTAGGTAGCCTTACAACAATTTTATTTATAACTTTGCTTATCTGATGCTTTCAAATACATGTAAACAAAATAAAATAAATAGTTATTGGAGTCTCTCCATATCTGCCTAAGAGCTTTATAACCTTCTCGCAATCAACATTCTCCCTTCACCCTTTGACTCTTCCAGGCATCACTCCGTTCACTCAATAAAACTAACACCCCTTTTAGTGTTCTTCTCACCTGAAAGTTCAAAATTAACCCCAACTCCTGGTGTAGTGCTGTAGGATCAGCACTGGACTGCAAACTGCAAGGTCGGCAGTTCAAACCCACAGCCACTCCTTGGAAACCCTGTACAGAGTCCCTATGAATCAGAACCAACTCGACAGCACTTAACAACAACAAATGTAACTGAAGGCCTAAATACTGTTCCATTGGTATCAATCTCCTCACCAAATTCTCTACCCTCACATCAGAAATCATATTCCCCTCAACATTCTTCCAGGCTGAAACCAAAGATACCTAGTTATTTTCTTTCTTAAGCCCAGAGGTCAGACCTAGGAGCCCCATTCATTTCTGCAAGAGACTAATAAAACTTCTTAGAGCTCCATCCTTCTATTTGTCTTTGCTGGTATCCATGCCCACCTTCTTATTCCTCTCCAAACCTCAATGTAAAATCAAAGTCCTATGTCCTTTGACACTCTACCTACACTTGTCCTTCCTCCCCCATCTCACACAACCCCTTCCTCCATTAGCTCAAGGAGATGCTCCGATTCTCAGCTTTCAGAGCAACATAGTCTGACAATATAGCTCACAACTCAAACTCACTGCCACTGAGTCACTCCTGAGGCTGTAAAGCTTTATGGGGACAGGAAGTTTCATTGTTCTTCTGTGGAGTGGCTGGTGGTTTTGAACTGCTAACCTTTCTGTTAGCAGTCCAGTGCCACACAGATCTGGATGGTTAACTGTTAAAATGAGTTTGTATTGCTTTTGTAATAAAAAGATGAAAATAAATAGAGGGGTAAATCAAGAATCCCAATTTCTCCATGGAATGAATCTTGCAAGTATAATAGGCACTGGTGGCAATTTTCCTTTCATTGCTCTGGAGAGTTCTGAACACAAACTTTATGTCTTACTTTGCCCTTTGTCCACAGAATGTCTGTATGTGCACTGTGTCTGTGACACAGTGGTTAGTCTGCTAGCCTTTTAGATTGAATTGTGTTCTTGTTGTCAGCTAGATTGGGGCAGGGAGGGGAAGATGACCTCTCAGGAATTTTGTGTTTAGCTTGTATGGTTTTGGAGGGCAGAAACTGTGCACTCCTATCCTGATAGTCAAGGGACCCTGATGGCACAGCGGGGTAAGTGCTGGTTTAACTGCAAGGTTGACAGTTTAAACCACTAGCCACTCTGGGGAAAAGATGAAGCTGTCTGCTCCTATATAGATTTATAGTCTCAGAAACCCTAAGGAGCAGTTCTGTTCTGACCTACAGGGTCACTATGAGTTGGAATCGACTCTATGAAGTGGGTAGTGAGAGCTTGATAGTTTGTAATAGACTTATTACCAACACTGGAGCATCCTCAGAAAGTTTCTTTGAAATGTCTTTATGACATCGCCCTCTCTTGAGGAATTCCTGATGTTAATAGTGACACAACTTGGAGGCACTGTTGTTGGGAGTGTTTTCCAGTTGATCCAACTCAGGGTGACAGCATGCACAATGGGATCAGACTGTTGTGATCTATAAGGTTTTCACTGGGTGGTTTTCTAAGTGAATCTCCAAGCCTTTCTTCCTAGTCTACCTTAGTCTAGTGAAACCTGTTCAGCGTCATAGCAACACATAACCCTCCACTGACAGATTGCTGGTGTCTGTTCTTGAGGTGCTTTGACTGGAAAGTAAACCCAGTTCTTCTGAATGAAAGGCCAGAACCACCAATGCCACCAATGGTTGTTTATTAAAATTTAATAATGCGGTACTAAAACATAGATTTGGAAGCTCTATTTCCTGGCAGGGCTGATCAGCTGATGGGGCTTCATTGTAGGGTGACAAGCCAGGAACTGTGATGTCAATATCTCTATGTGAGAAGGCAGTTCCAGTATCCTGTCTCACTGGGGATTAGCCACTTCTCTTCCCTCTGAGTTTTTTTGCGTGTGTGTGTGTTAGCAGTGACACATTTTGAAGGTACTACCATCCCTGAATGATCATATAGATGTTCTATAGAAGTTGAATGAGCAGAAGACTTGATTTTGTTTTTATTGTTCTTTCTAATAAAGCAAAAACCATGCCTTTCTTGGTTCTTAGAAAAATACGATTGTTGAGCTCATAAAGTAAGAGAAAGCAGTTCAGTTTTCGCTGGAGCATGGTCTAATTTGAACTAAATTTGGGAGTGATTTTGACCAGACTTGGGATGCAGAAACAGGGTAGTCCCTCAGCCTTCACTGTCTTGATTTTATCATTCTATGTGGTGTCATTTTACATATTCATACCAAATATGAATAAATGGAAATTCAGATATACTTCAAGCACGAATTATTAAGTCAGATATACTTATTCTTCATGAGTCCAGTTTCTGAGTTAACGATGCCATTTCTAGTCTCCTCTCTGGGATTTATTCAAATCTCCAGCAGTACCAGTAAAAATGTGCCCAAGTGATCCATCCAAGGATTTGGGCACATTTTTGTTGGTACTGCTGGAGAGTTGAATAAATCCCAGAGAGCAGACTAGAAAACCAGAGCCACTTTAGGATCCCCTTTGAAAGTTGGGTTTCTCACTGGCAGTTTAACAGGGTGTAACCCTAGCCCTTCAGGAACACAAGAACAAATGATGGAAAAGTATTAGATAGGCTTGTTTTAAACTCATTCCCAAGGAATTTGACTGGACCCTGTCTATAATATTGGACACATTGTTATGTTTGGTCTGTGGACCAAATGCCCCATGGATTGGCCACTTAGGCATCTTTTCCCTGAACAAAGCCTATGGTCTTACAAACCAAAAGGACTGTAAATATAACTCTTCCATGGAGTCTAAAGGGAAACCTTCAGCAAGGATGACTTAGAGCAGGTAGCTAATGCTACAGACTGCTATAGCTAGCTAATGCTATAGCAGGATAAAAGATGTACTCTCTGCTCTGAAAGCTCCTTGTTACTGTGCCTGGTTTTCCAGGAGAACAATAAGCATGATTTACTGAGCATTTACATATGTCAGTCACCAGGCAAACATTATGCATGCATTAGCTTATTTACAACAATCCTCTGAAGTAGGTACCCTATTTAGTCCAAACTTTTAGATTAAAAAAACCTAAGAAATATGTTCAAATTCATGTATCTATTAAGAGGTAGAATTAACATTTTTTTGTTTGTTTGTTTAAAATAAAATGTTTTATTGATTTAAGTACATATACACACATATAAAACACATCTGTTAATTCAATATTTTTCATATTGACATCAGTTTGACCAAAGGAAGTATCACCAGGCATGTCCTTTAATCTATGTAGTTTTATTGTGAAGAGGTTTCTGATCCAAAAGTATGTTCAAAATCATATGGACAAAATTATTCTGTAAAACTTCATGTAGCCTTACAGATTATCCTAATCGTTTTGCAAAATAGCCCTACTGTTCCCTTGGGAAGGCTTTTCATAAAGTACCTTGGACTTTTCACAAAGAAACGATTGACATTGTTTCTTATATTTCCATTGCCATCCAGTCTTTTCCAACTCATAGCAACTCTACAGGACAAAGTAGAACTGCTTCATAGGGTTTCAGAGGCTGTAAATATTTAAGGAAGCAGACTCATCTTTCTTCAGTGGATTTATTGGTGGGTTTGAACTTTGAACTTTGTGGTTAGCAATCCAATGCTTAGCCCACTGCAGCAACAGGTGTCCTTATGTCTTATATTTGCTGTTGTTGTTAAGTGCCAGGAAACCAAAATTACTG